AACCCCCCGCATGCGTGCCAAGCATGGCACACAAGGCCATTTTGTTCAGCACACCTCCGCCAGTCTGGGCTCTAAGCAGCTGCTGCCAGCCAGGGAGCCCAGGCTGCTCCCAGCAGGCAGCTGGGAGACTGTAAGCCCTGCTGCAAGCAGACTGGACCCCGTGGGCCGGCTGCAGCCAGGAGGCTGCAAACAGCTGCTCCGGGCTCCAGCATGTCGGCACTCTGGCACCTTCCAAGGTAGACATTGTGGTTTTTTCAGCACTCCGGCCAAAAAATCTTGCCTACCCCTGATCAAATGCAAGAAAAGTAATGACAGTCACTGCAAAAGCGTACAACAGTAGCAGATTCCTATGGGTAGGCAAAAAACAGAAAATCGGGACTATTGCCGGTTTTATCAACTGTTTTGATATGCCTTATTCACTTTGCAAGCTCTGTGCCTCAGTTTCTCGGATTGATAATTCTCCCATCTCCGAGATGTAAGGATGCAAACCTGTAAAGTAATTTTAATAAGTAGGCAGAAACAGGCAAGATGCTGTAGTAAAATATTCAGCGTGTCAGAAACGGGGAACCAGGCCCACTAGGCAGTTGTCTGATTTCTGCCAACTGGATTCCAAACCACCCGGCAGAACCCGAGTCCCACACTCAGCTGAGCCCCCAGATCATGACGTGCCACACTTCCTACTCCAGAGGACTGATTCTTCAGTGAGACTGTCTCCAAAAGAATAAACTGTGGAGCTTCAAATCACTCACAGAAATACCCACACTGCAAACCAGACAGCAAAACAGACAGAAAAGAAACAGAAACCTTAACTCCTTAAACAGCATGAGAGCAAGTGCGATGAAACAATGACAGCACAGCATCCTGCTCAGGCTGAAATCAGATTAAAGTGTCTGAACCTCTAGCAGGGGAATTCCTGGCTACTACTAATCAGAGACAGGTCCAAAGTCCCCCGCCTGTTCACCCCACCCCTGCACAGACCGCACAAAGCAAGATCTAACTTCCTTTTGTTGTTAAAAATCATAGACAAATGCATCATGGCTCAAAAGCAACCACCAGTCAACTAAGCATTTAATGTGTCTGAGGCCCCAGTCGCTGAGCCTCTAGAAGAGAGTGCCAGGCTGCAAGCAAAGTGCATTTGTAACGGGGAAGAAGTCAGGGGTTGAAAGAACAAGCCGCCCAGCAGCAGATGGTTACAGCCCTGACATGCTACGAACTGCCCACACTATTGTGTTACCTGCCTCCACCCAAACCCTCCTGCTCTTCTCTTCCACCCGTGGCGCCTGCTGTGTAGACTGCAGGCTGTTAGAAGCTATATTTGTGCGTGGTGCTGTACAGTGGGCATCAAACCAGTAGACGTCCAGGATCCCTAGAAGGGGAAAAGAAAGCGCTGTTCATGGGTATTCCAGCCTCCTCCACACGTGGGCCAGAGCTGCAGTGGTGCTGCCACTGCCCTCGGACACGGACCTTCTCCCCATTCTGCAAGCCGCATGGAGTGGCATATGGCACTGCTAGCTCAGCACAACAGGTCACAGAGGAACTAGTCTCTCCAAATCCCTCCTCCTAGCCGCCACTTGCCTTCCTTGTGTTTCAGTATGCAGTGGGCAGCTCCAGTTTAGAGAGACGTGGAAAAAACTGCTTCGTGGCCTAGGACCTAGGAATCCATCTGACCGGGACTTTGGTGCAGTCCAATCTCACCTCTTTCTAAAGCACCACGACACCAGGTTTTGAACAGCTCAATCGAATGTTCTTTAGCTCTGAATCCACTTAACACACCTGATAATTACAGGCACTATTACCTGGCTCTGGCCCCTCCAGAAGCCCCACAGAAGGGAGCTGTTTCTTTGTCACTCTGTCTCACTGACCACTTGAACAACCTCCTCTCCCCCCCTGCCCAGGCCTCCAACTCCTTCCTCTGTGCTTCGCTTTGCCCCGATAATGCGGTTGGAACTGAGCTTGCATGAAATGCCGTGTTCAATTCTACCGACCAAGAACAACTGTAAAAACATCTGGGGATCTGCTCTGCTCCTCACTAGCAATGTCAAATTGCTCTGATACTAACAGATTTAGATAAAAATGGAATTCATACATTGTAAGGCCCAGAGGGACCTTGGAAGATCATCAGGTCCAGCCCCTCCGCACCAAGCAGGAAAGATAACCGGGGGTAAATTCATCGATTGTAAGGCCGGATTAAATTCCCTATTAAATTCCCTTCAGGGCCGAATTAAGTCAGGCATTTTCCCCACCTGCTTCCAACACTTTGCTGACTGTGTGCTTGATTAAGGAGCAACTGAGAGACCTCTACCAGGGTATGCAGTGAGAGTGGACAGAAATTTTAAGCACAGGCACTAGGCAGCCCCAAAAATACATTCCTGTAGCAGCAGCTCAGCTAGCGGAAGTGTAAAATCAGGCCCCTGTTCATACCAGAAACCTCAAGCTGTTCATTCTTTTGACCCTCAGTAACAGCACAAGCAACAGTCTCTACCCGAACACCAAGGACATTAGTTCATTAAAAGAGCAGCAGATGCAAATGGAAAGCAGTACTTCCCGTCACTGCTGCTGCATCACGTAGGTGTTATTGACAGATGGCTAAAATGAAGAAAGAGAAAACACCCAAAAGCAAGCAGGAAGAAGATGAGCGTTACTGTTACAGCAACATGAACATTTAGTGGGTCATTCACACATTTGCAGTCATTGACATATTGTTATAAATATACTGCTTTATTGGAAGATGTTATTTATAAATAAGAACGACACCAATCCCCTGCTGAAAGCACTGAGATCTCGGGATGGGAAGCACTGTATAAGAGCGGAGTATTATTTCAGGCAGCAGGCTGATACAGGAAGATCGTGTCCTCACCCGAAGGAGCTGAGTGAGTCAGCCTGAGGCCCATCGGTAGGTTCAAACAGAGATGGGCACTGGAGAACTACACAAAAGCAAACTAGAGAATTTCTACCAATCCAGGGCAAGGGCAGCCCTACGCACAGGTCGGACTCAGGCAGAACAGAGGCAGGGATACCACGGGGTAGAGAGAGTCCAGGAAGTTAAAGCAAGGCAAAGAGGAAGGGCACTGTCTCTGTAGAGTGAGCTGCCCAGTCTTTACCATGGGGCAGGAGTGTGAACATGGGGAGTTACCACAAAAGCCCTGACACGCCGTGAAGTCACACCCTTACATCCCGTGCCCACACGAACATGCTTATGCTGCAAGGCACAGGGCCGCTTAATCTAGGTGCTTGGGGAGCTCCACTGCCCTGAGACTACCCTAGCTCCCCGGCCAGGTGTGCAAGGACTCGGCAGTCCTCGCTTCAACCAGCTGCTGCCTCCTAATACTCTGCAGACTCCAAACACCAGCCAAGCCCCAATGCCCACGACTGCAAGGTCTAGAGCAGCGGGGACCAACGTCTTTGACAGACATACCACAAATTACCTCTGTACCCTCCCCCAGGGCCACTCCTCTGCCCGATCTGCTGCTCTGCTTTCTGCCTGATCTGACACTGTGCTGCCTGCCGCCTCTGATCTGCTGCGTTCCCCATGCACGGGCTGCCTGTGACGCTTGTGACACGCATGCCAGATTGGCCACCCCTGTTCTAGAGTAAGCCCAGGGTTATAACTGGAGCATGTACCTAACAAAGGCCCCATACAAATACAGGGAAGGCACGTCACCATGGTCTTCTCCGGCTATGAAAAGGAGCCATTCTTCCTGCCTCCCAACTAACATCTGACTGGATTTGGACTAAGATTCCTTTCTGGGCCAGGATCCATGCAGCACCACCCAGCAGGTTCTGGTTAATCCTGCGTTTTTCTGTTGTGCAAGAAAAAGACCCACTCGGCCGATAGAAACCAGAGCCAGAAACGCAATTTTCATTGCATGCCACCAACGGACCCTCAAGATGACGCGTGCCCCGATGCCCTCTCCCTCAGGGCTGTCCCACGAAACATGTCCGACTGCTCTGAACAGAAGTCAGAACCGCGTTTCGAGAGGGGGCTCCGGCCACCGCCATGCTGCCTACAGCCCGCACGGGGACTGTCTGCAGGGGAGAGGCCTAATTAGACTGTTCCTCAAGGAAGCCCCTTGGCTCATCGCTGCTAACTACAATTGCTATTTTCAGCATGCATTTAAGATAATCCTTCTGTCCCACTTTCCAGCCCGCATGCTGACACGGCATCTTTTGCACATTGAGCGCCAGATCACACTTTAACGTGACCTCTTCGGGGCGGGGATCAGAAGCATCCCAGACTTCGTGGACTAACGGTGACCGAACCTCGTGTCCGACTAGCTGCGGGGTGGATGCCGAACTACCCGCGGGCCACGCACGAGGAGCCGCATCACCCCCACGTCGGAGCAGCGGTATCCGTGTGCGCCGGGCGCGATCTGCGCCCTGCTCTCTCCCCCCTCGCAAATGGGAAACGTAAGCTACAGTCGGATCCGACTCAGAGCCCCGACAGCAACACCCAGTAGGCAAACAAGGACCTTGCAATGAAACCCGGTGCCAAGCACAGCCGCCGCGGGGACGTGCTTCCTCTCCTGTCTCAACTACAACCCGGCTGCTCTCAACGAATTAATGTCTTTTAAACGGAATTTGGGTGCGGCGGCGCGGCTCACCTTCCTACCGCAAGCCGGCGGGGCCAGGCCGCTCGGACTCATCCAGAGGGGCTCCTGAACAACCCCAAACTCTTTTAACCCGGGCCTAGGATCCCCGTGTCCACGCGTGCAGTGCGCTCCGGCCGACACAGCCCGTTTGAGCAGAACGCCGTTGCTTCACGCGTGCCTGCGGGTCGCTCCGTGCCGAGAAGCGTTACCAACCCGCGCGCGGGGACGGCCCAGGGGAAGCGTTACAACCCCGGCGGGGCCGCAGAGGGCGCGATGTGGTGGCCGGTGGCCGGGGTTTCCCGCGCGGCCCTGTCCCGTTTCCTCACAGGCTGGAGGCGAGCGGGGAGCCCCCGGGCCGCGCGCGAAGGGGAGCGAGGCCTGGTCCCCGGCCGCCCCGCACCCCGCGCTCACCTTCCGACAGCTCCAGCTCCAGCTCGGCCAGCTGCTCGCGCACGTCCCGGGCCAGCGCGGCGGCGCCCGGCGGATCGGCCATGGCGGCGCGGCCTCCCCTCCCTCCCTCCGTCCCC